ATGGAAAAGAAAAAGCCTGCTCAACGATGACATCTCGGTCATTCATACTAAAGGTATGGATAGATGAATGGATGGATAGATGGGATAGAAGGAATGGGGGGTGGGTTGGAGTATGGATGGATAGATGAGATGGATGGATGGTGGGTAGGTTGGTGTATAGATGGCTATATGGGATGGATGGATGTGGATGGATGGATGGATAGGATGGGATGGATGGTGCGTCAGTGGGTTGGTGGGTGGATGCGTGGGTGAATAAGTAAATATTTTTATAGTTCTTTTTTTCAAGAACTCTCGGAAACGTCTGTGGAATCATAGAAAGTGTAGTTCGATAGATACTATTACGGTTGTGGATGGAAAAATCAAACATTTTGTTTTTCATTCCAAAGAGTATAACGCATCGTTTTCTCTCATTATTATCAGATAACTCATCCAAAGGAAAGTACGTTTTTTCTAACATGGATGGCTTCAAGGATCACACCTTGACCATCTATGACGTACAACCTAAAGACGCCGGCCAGTATTATTGCTGCATCAAGAACATCACAAGTCCCAGACCCCCCGAAGATATTAGTGACTGTCAGATCTTTGAAGTCCAACCCCAACCCCTACTCCAAACCCAGCCCCCATCCCCACTCACTACCCCACCTCCAGGTCAGTATCAGTAGTCAGTCATCGATTATCACGTGACATGAACTGCTTTTATCTTATTTCCCTTTTACAAATTTACTTGATTTTCCTTCTCAGCAGGTTCTGTAGTTGGCAAAGCAAGTCCCACGTTTTCCATCATTCTCCTCGTGCTGCTGCTTAATTGGTTGCTGTAATGATCACGTGACTACTCACCAGGTCACGTGATGCCTGAGGATGGAAGTGTATCCATCATTTGACCAAAACCTTCCTTGTCAATAAGATAAAGTGCACTCTTATTCTTAGTGCTGAATGGTATTGAATACCTTCATTGTACTAGGGTAGCATGGGTGGCCTCCCACCACTGTCGTCTGGGTTCGATCCCAGGCTCAGACTGGATATTAAGTGAGTTGAGTTTGTTTGATGTTGTGTTCTCTCTCTTGCCACGAGGGTTTTCTTCGGGATCTCCAGTTTCTTCCCTCCGTAAAAAGCAATATGTGAGTTGAGTGTTGTATGTTGTAAATATAGAATGTAGTGGTAGTGCGTGTGGAGGGAACCTCACGGAAGAGCCCCGTATGGGGAGTGGTGGTTGTAAAATATTATTTAATCTAATTTATATAAGATAGTTAACAGTAATATACTGTTTTATTACTCGGGCTTTCGAAGAAATGCCCGAGGTATAAATTGGGCTTCGTTATTTTTTTTCTTCAGGCACAAATCGCCCTCGAAACCCTAAGGTGCATGCGTCAAATCAAAGTCTATGCGCATGCGTAGAATCAGCCATGAGCACATGCTTGAGTAATGGCGGATATGGGGAAGGACTCGTCGCTGTTTCAAGTAATGAATAATATGGAGTCTTACACCCTCAACATTTTTAGCACGCGTGATTTTGCATAGACTTTGCACCATCTAAAAGGGTGACAATGTTCACGACGAAGAATTCTTTCGATTTTCTGCTATGAAGCCCGAGTTCACGCAGATATGCATCTAGTCTTACTTTATTCTGTAAACAAAATGAATATGTTTGAGTTTTCATTTGTGTGCTCCAACAAAACAATAAAATGGGAAAAGATCTTAGCTTGTGTGATCTTTTAGCTCGTAATACTAGTCTTTTGAAAACCATCCCTTCTCAGGTGAGTAAGCGTTTCTTGGCGGGCTATATTTCAGTAGTATCGCACCGACCCAGGAATCTTGTCTCAACAGGTGATTTGCATGT